ATATATATATATATATATGTATATGTACATATATATATAGTATTTAAATATCTATCAAGTAGAGTAACACATAGCATATATATCATGTAAGTTTTTAAAGGTTATTATTTGATTGATAATCTTGCATTTATTTGATCATTTCTCATGGGTATTGTTTTTTTAGAAGGAACAACCTGCGCTCTATCAAATTAGCAAGTTACCACATATATTTTAATAAACTATTTTTACAAGCTTTTTAACATGTATAAGCTTTTAATCTTATTATTTTTATCTTTTTAACAGGACAAGACTTTTATCATGTAGAATTTTTTATATCAACAGTATATTTTTATATCTATAGCATTTCAAATATATTATAAAGCTTTTCATAACATTTAATTTGGTTGCAGCTGTTTGAACTTAAAAGTTTTGGTGGGTGATATGGTTATTTTCTATAAATCAGGCATTTCATCTGACCAAGCTCAAGGATAAAGTAAGATAAGGCCGGAGCAAGGACAAAGAAAGAACGAGATGGCCTCCATGTAGGCCTTCAGACTTTCAGCCCTACTATCAGTTCTTAAAACAGAAGTTTGGGGAAATGGGAGTGAATCACCATTTGAAGGACAGGCTTCGCTAATTAGAGAACTGAAAGTTATCGCAGTTGAGGGAATTCAAGAAAATTCAAGGGGAGGAAAAAATAAATTTTAAAGAGCTGACATACGAGAGAGGAAGCTGAAGTAGTTAAAAGTTACAGGGAAACATTTCCACATAATATGAGGAAAAATTTTATCTTAGAAAGGGTCCCACAATTAAATGGTCACCTGGGAAGGGATTGCGTTCTCACTAACAAAAGTAATAATCACAAATGAACATTTGGGGAGGGTGTTATAAAAGAGATTCAAACTTGAGGTGAGTGAGAACAAACCACATATAAGATTATTCCCACCACAAATGTCTGTGATTCTGAGAAATAGTTGTGTAGGTTGTTTATCCCTATCCAGAGTGCTTGGGACCAAAAGTGTTTATAATTTTGGAATATTTGCATGTACGTAATGAGATATTTTATGTTTCATATGTAAGTATCTTATATACATATCTTGAAGGTGATTTTCTACTCTTTTTTTTTTTTTTTTCATACCAGAGATCAAACTTACAACTTTGCTCTTGCCAGGCAGGCGCTTATGCCACTGAGTTAAATCCCCAGCCCATCTACAATATTTTTAATACTTTTGTGCATATAATAAATTGAGGACACTAAACAATCAAGTGTCAGGTATGGAATTTTCTACTTGTTAGCACTGAACATTTTTAGATTTTGGAGCATTTCAGATTTTCAATTAGGGATGCTCAAGCTGCATTTTGAAAGTAGCCCCACAAGATTTACTGATGAATCAGACCTGGACTAAGAGAGAGGAAGCCAGTATGCATAATACCAAAGTGTTTGATCTAAGCAGCTAAAAAGATGAAAATGCTGTCCTCTGAGATTGGGAGGCCTGTAAGTAAAGCAAAAGTGAGGAGAGGACTAGAAGTTTAATTTTGGATTTTATTGTTAGGTCCAGTACCTGTCAGACATCCAAGTAGCAGTAGTGAATAGGAAATTGGGGTAATCAAGATTGGATTTGGCAGAGAGATCAGGCTTCAGAGATAGAAGTGTTTAAAGCCTCTTTCTTGAGGTCATCAAGAAAGAAGTATAAATAGAGGACATGGGATTGAGCCTTGAAACACTTCAGATGTTGGGGCTCAGGGAGAAAATGAAGTACAAAAAGAGGGAGCCTCTTGCCCCATGAGAGACCAGCTGATCTGGCGAAACAGAGGCTGTGATGACAGCGGTTCAGGTGAAATGCAGTCTGATGCCTGTGGTGTTTGGTGTTTCTAGGGCCAGGGGTCTGATATCTATTCAGAGGATAACTGGTACGCAGTGTGGCATCTATGGGGATTTCTTTCTGAAAGTGGTAGCCATTGTTAATTCTCTATTATTACCTTGTTTTGAAGTCTTGTATCATTTTCATTGTTGGATTGGGTTTGGTTTTATTCTGTTTTGTTTGATTTTGTTACATCCAATGGTATGGGCAACTGTTTCAAAGATAGCAAGATATGGTAGTCATTTTGGATTTACTATTGTCTTAAAGTCCTGTGTCACTTACACTGGTTTGTTTTGATTGGCTTTATTCTGGTTTATTTTGCTTGATTTTATTCTCTCTAAAAAAAAATTTTTTTTTTAAAAAAGAAGAGAGAGGATTTGGGGAGGCAGGAGAAACCAAAAGTATTTTTTCCTTAAAACTAACTGCAAAAACACTTTGAGAGTTAGGCTTAGGCTTAGGGTTAGAGTTACTAACTGTGTTAAACACTGATAATAATTCAAGTAAGATGAAGACTGAGAAATAAACATTAGAATTATCTTGTGGACAAATTGTGAGACAAGTCTTTGCTAGAAAAGTGTACAGAAGCTAGAATCATAGTTCTTAAGTATGTGGTGAAAGGTAGAATCATAAAAGTTCTTAAGTATATGGTGAGAAGTAGGCTCTATTCTAAGGACCAGGAAGAGGTATTTAAAGAATTTTTAAACAAATAACAAATCTGCATTTTAGTAATTTGACAGTAGTATCTTTGTCATGATAGTTTAAGTAAAAGACACTGAAGAGCAATAGTTGTAGGGATAAGATGAAGAAATACCAAATATATTTAGGCATTAAGTCAGCAAGATGTGATTATTCCTAGTTGTGAGAAGTGACTTAAGCAGTGGACTTAGATTCCTAGTATGGATAAGAAGGTAAATTGTAGTAACACCAATTGAGGTAGTGAAGAGAGGAGCCCACCAAGAGAGCATTTACAGAGAATAAGAATTAGGAAATGTGACATAGAAATAAGGCCAATAGCTTAGAAAACATACAGCAACTGTGTCTTGATAACTTTTCTCTCCTTGTTGGGACAAAATACCCGAAAACCAAAATGAAGAAAGGAAAGGTTTATTTAGCTCACTGTTTATGGAGGTTTCAATCCATAATCAGCTGGCTCCAAGGCAGAGGGGCATAGCATTGGGGCAGCACTTCTAGGCAGCAGCCAGCAAAAGCAGCCAGAGCAGAAAAAGGGGAAGAACAAGTCTCTTTTCTTTATATTGCAAGGAGGCTACCTGACCCCACTACCATGCCAGGTCAGGTGTAACACTCACACCACCTCTGTGGCCTCCTCTTGCACAGGCTGGGGATATTTACAAAGTAAGAATTCTGACTCCTTACTGAGTCTCTGAGTTAAATTTCTAAATTTCTCAGTGTATCAACCATAACAAGCTATAAATATAAATCAAAGAGTCCAGTGTGTCAGAACCATGAGAATTTTTAAGAAAATGTAGTCACCAGTTCCAATAACCATGATGCAAAAAGGTTACAAACGAAAAGGACTGAAAATTGAAAGTTTGACTTCATAACTTAATAAGACCTGAGTCAAGTGGAATAAATGGAATGGTTTGAGATGACATTATTAATAGTTATTATATTATAAAGAATGGCCGGGCCTGGTGGTGCACACCCGTAATCTCAGCACCTGGGAGACTGAGACAGGAGTATCGCTTCAAGTTCGAGTCCAGCATGGGCTACAAAGTGAATTCAGAGCCTGCCTGAACTACATAGTGAGACCCTCTCTCAAAACAAAACCAATAAAAAGAATGGAATTAGTTAGTAGCTAGGTATTGGTAGTCAGACTAACCTATTTAGAGATTCAAAGGCAGGGTATTTTTATACTGATAAAATTGAAATAATTATGAATGAATAGCTTGTATAGGTTAAAAAGGTTTTTTGTTTTGTTTTATTTTTAAAGAGTACCTAGGTGATACCAGCTGAAAGTGAATTATGAAAGTTAGTTCCAGGGAGTACTCTTAACAAAACCACTTAGCAAAAAACACAAAGAGACTTTGAATAGAGATGTATTTCCTAAATATATGGCATTAACAGAACTCCCTGGGGTCCACTTGCTTAGTTTTCCCTTCAACAACACACTTAACATTGCTATGTTTTGTCTTCCTTTGGAAATGAAGAAATTGGGTTAGGTTACTTTAGGATTTGTTCTTCTCTTAAAATATTTTTGTTTTGATGGCATTGTGTTTGTTATTGTATTTTTATTAAAAAGTTATTTTAATAACAAAGCTGTTAAACAACAGACTTTTCTCTGACAGTGTGTTTTAAAATCCACCCTGGGTATTTTGTTTTTATTGTTGTTGTTGTTGTTTATTTTTGAGACAAGATCTTGCTAACTAGTTCAGACTGGCCTTGAACTCACTACATAGCCCAGGCTGGACTTGAATTCTTGGCAGTCCTTCTGCCTCAGCCTGTGAGTGCAGGGATTACAAGCATGCACCACCACACCTGGGTCCCCTTTGATATTTTTCATGGCAACTTTGAACTTACGTTTTACAGTGATTCCAGCTTGCCAAGAGGTAAGGAATGGTAAGTGGATGCACTATAGGTAGAAACTAGAAACTTTTTTGAGCACCACAACAAGAAAACAGAACAGGAATTTTTATATGGGGAGCAGCATGAAACGAAAGTGTGTGTGTGTGTGTGTGTGTGTGTGTGTGTGTGTCTGTCTGTCTGTCTGTGTGTCTGTCTGTGTGTGTGCTGTAAGACAAGACAACTTAGATATTGTTTGTAGTAAGAAAGGAGCTAGCAGAGCAGGCCAAAGTAAAGATATGGGGGAGCAGGTATTTGGTCAGAAAAAAAAAATCAAGAGAACAGGTGTTAGATGATAGTATCAGAAGTACCAGTGGGGTAGCTATTCTTACCACTGAGAAGGACATTAGTCCTCTAAAACACAAGAGAAGTCGATATCCATACATTTTAGGCATGCCTCTCTAATGTGTATTTAAATGACAGAAACCCGCTTAGTTTTTTTTTTTTTTTTTTTTATCAGTACTGGGGATCAAACTCACAACTGCATGCTTGCAAGAGCTAAATCCCTAGCCCCTGCTTAAAAATGACTTTTACAGCTCAATCTTGTTTTCAGTAATCATGTTTTTTTTTTTCTTCTAGGTACTAACTGTGACATCTATGACCATTTTTATTATTGCACAAGCCCCTGAACCATATATTGTTATCACTGGATTTGAAGCCACTATTATTTTCTTTTTCATAATTTTATATATCCTCAGACTTGATCGAACGATGAAATGGTTATTTTGGCCTTTGCTTGTAAGTTTTCAGTTTCATTCTTAAGCTTTAACTACTCTTTCCTACCATAGTGAAACATTTATTAACTCCAGCCTTTGGTTCTCTTAAACCTTAAGGTAGTCATTGATAGGATTATGAAGAAGGAACTTGGTATTGTCTTTGGAGGATTCTCTGGGTCCCAAGGCAGCCACAAAACATGTATTCTCCTCTCTGTGCCCATAGATGTGGCACAAGGATCACATTAATAAAATCACAGAACATCTTAATCTTACGTTCTTTTTAAATGCATGTTGAAGTAGCCTCAGAATTGAGGAGTAGAGATGGAAACAGATACACAAGTATCTATCTTTGCATTATCACCAATGGAAAATCAGAATAGTTGAGAAAGATAGATGAAGTACGATGTTACTGGGAAATGTCTACAGTTGTTAGTACTGAGTAATTTAACTTATTGAATCTTATTTTGTGCCATAGGGACTTTAGCCTGATATAACATTAAAAATAACTGCCCAATAGAATATCTAAGTAGCTCAAGAAACTGTCAGAGGGGAAGTTTGAAGCTATTAATTAAGATGTATGTGGCCCTTCTGCCTGGAGTAGAGGCTAAGTGTAGCAAAAATTGCTCAACTTCACCTTTTGTTCCCTCTTTCAAGGCATAACCCAGGCCCTGCCTCCATAAGTCTTCCTCCTATGTCACCTGCTGCCCTCCTTCTCTTTGGTTGGGGTGACTGCTGCCATGTTTTCCTCTTCTGCCCTGATCTTACGCTCTCGAATTCCAAAGTGCTTATATCCAACGTGATAATTCCTATTAAGAAGAGAGAATTTTAGAGCTACTCTCAAACTTCAGGCATGCCTTAAAGGGAGACCTTTTGGGACTATCTTTGGAGACCAGTGATGAGCATTTCAGGCTAAGCATAAGCTCAAAAACTCGGCAAGGACAAAGCTGGGAAATAGAGTCTCTCACCTCTCAAAATTCCTACAAAATCTGAACTTTAGATTTTGTGACCTGTTTGGAGGTGATCTAGGGAAAGAGATTACAAGGCATTCTTCAGCTGGCCCTCACTTAGTGGCAGAGTGGGCTAAGTTAGATTATTCTAAGAATTTCTTCAGGGAGATAATCTCACCCACATTCTCTTGATCTTTTACTCAAAAAGTATATAATTCCTGTACATGCTCCCCGTCTCCAGAGTTAATAAAATGAATACATTTTAATATTTTTCTTTAAACTGAAATCATTCTCCAAACTTCTTCGATGAGCCAGTAATAACACTGAAGCTTCCATTCAACAGAATACTTTCCATAGTCTATGCAGCATACAGAAAGGAGTAGTCTTCAAATCTCTTGGCATCACACTTTGCCAGTATTATAACCTCTTGGAATTAGTACTTGAAAAATTAGGTGGTTACACTGTTATGAATGCCAGAGTATTTTCTGATCTTGATCTAGTGAAATTGTTCAAATTTAAAGTAACTGCTAGTCCTGGATTTTGTAATCTATTCTTTGATAAGACAAAATGCAAATCTTTTGTGCCTGAGAAGCTCTCAGTATGGCAAGAAGTACAAGAATTCATCGAAGGTATTTATAAGATGTGCACACAAGATGGTGTAAAAGCACCTAGCCAGAAAAGAGACAAAATGACAATAGGCTTGTAAAGAAAAACTGCCTGAGCCAAAGACTGAAGGCAGAAAAGTAGTTAGCAACTGCCTGCTGAAACAGAAGGCTTACTCCATAGAAGTAGCAAGTCCTGTGAGTCTGGGTGGGGAAGGAGCATGGCCCTCCAGGACCTGCAGGTAGATCTGAATGGCTGGAGTATGGAGCTGGGGGTCAAAAGTAAAGACTTGAGGCAGCCATAGGGGGTCAAAGCCGGCTTTCCCAGCTTTGTGGAGCTCAAGCTTTAACTCAAACACTGATAGGAAAAGGTACTAAGCAGAAAGATTCTGTAAAGTTAAATGGGAGCCAGCTGAAGAAGTTGACAAGTGGTGCTTTTACTGCAACTTACATGAAGGACAGTGATGGCTGAAGAGTCCCAAGTTCATCTGCAGGTAGGAAAAAGGTACTTTGTCTGATGGCCACTGTCTTTGCTGATGAGGAGAGGGATTGGTCATCTGCACTTAGATTTATTATTTGTATCACTGTCCCAACATTATAGTCCCTGACACAATGTGTGAGTAGATTGTCTCTGTTACTTCAAGTGTTCCTTGACAGAAAACAGTGAGCAACTCAGGGGTCTGAGACTCAAAATCTCCATTGCAATTAAATTTACATTGTACTACATGACATATTGATGTTTGGTTTTTGTATAAAAACAGTATTTTAAATAATGTCCCTGGGAAGATTCATTGTGATTCTCTACACTCCCTACAATACCACCTCTATCCAAAGTCATTAATTAATGGCCTGCATTGCTCACAGGAGGCAGAGCCTCCAGGGGTAAGGAGTGCTATGGTCTGTTTCCTTGAAGCACAGCAAAATAGTTAGCATGGAGAAAAGTTATTCTAGGATAGCTGGTCTTAATATCTCCTGCAGATGAGCCTTTTTTCTTCTAAGTATGTTTAATCTTGTCCCACCCCCATTAAACCTTTTTACTTTCTATTTAATAACTACTTTTCTAAGTTATCAGAGTTTTAAACGTTAGTATTTCTTTATTAATTCCTTCCTGCCTACTTACCTGAAAATGTACATAAGCCAAACCATCTTAGAATAAAGACTTTCCTACAATGCACATTCATGCAACAATGTAAACTGCACTTTCTTTTTATTTCAGTACTGAGGATTGAATCCCAGGTTTCACATATGCTAGGCCAGAGCTATGTCACCAGCCCCTTTTTAATTTATTTTGAGACAGGGTCTTACCAAGTTGCCCAGGATGGTATGAACTTGATCCTCCTTCCTAGCCTCTTGTGTGATATAGGTGTGCACCACCATCTGCAACTAAACTGCACTGCTTAAAGCCACAACTCAGACTAAAATGCTTCATTCTGGAGAAGTATTAAATGAATGAGCTATATAAACATAATTGACCAGCATTTGTGTATAGATGATATCTGAAATTATTTTAGAAATTACCATTTTTGTCTCTTTTTTTTTTTTTGGTACCAGGGATCAAACTAACCTCATGCATGCCAGGCAGGCACTTATGTCACTGAGCTAAATCCCAGGCTTACCATTTTGTCTTAAGGGTACACTATTTTCAGGAGTTTTTTTACATTTGAGGAACATAAAGTTTCATACATTTTCTCATACATTTTTAAAATTGGGCATTCTGACTTCCTGAGGTATCCACTGTACCCTAAATCTTCTACATAATGTATCATTTACCTTTCTTTGCTAACCAGATAAATACTCCACCCATACATATGTATGTAAAAAGTGCTTAAGCAATTAAACAATTGGTGTATTATAAGTAAAGGGAACCACTAGGTGTCAGTGGAGACCAAATACTCTATAAGTGTCACTTTACTGTGGCATTTGGGTTTGCTGAATAACATATTTAATAAAATGAAACATTCAGAACCTTTAGGGAGGGTGAGGGATGTGATTCAGTAACAGAGTGCTTGTCTAGCATGCACAAGGCCCAGGTCCATCCTTAGCATGGCAAAAAAAAACTATAGGTAGCCACCTCTTTTTTTTTTTTTTTTTTTTTTTTTTGCAGTTCTGGGAATCAAACTCAAGGTCTTGTGCATGCTGGGGAACTACTGTACCACTGAGCCATATTCTCCATCCACTGGTGGTCTTTATGTAAAACTTACTGACTCCGTTTTCTGTGTCTTTAGGATATTATCAACTCGATGGTAACAACATTATTCATGATCATTGTATCTCTGTTGGCACTGATAAAAGAAAATACAACATTGATAATCATTGGAGGAGTAAGTAGGGGTCTTTCTAGTTTCTTCAGGTTTCATCAGAATATATATTTATTTGGAAAATACATAAATGCAGAAAGCTGTACTATATTCATCCTTGGGGCTCCTAGGCCAGTACAGTGCTTTCTACCTTAATATTTTGTGTAAGTGAATGCACACTGTGATTAAAATGAAAGAATATGATTTTGTACTAGAACTGGAGTAACCCAAATACAGAAGTTCCTACGTATTTCTAACAGTTATATAGGGTAATACCACATTGAGAAAAGCTGCTAGAATTAGCCTGGTACCATACAAAAGTGAGATGGATGAGTTTCATAGCTTTCCCTTTTACTTTTCTTTCTTCTTTTCTTTTCTTTTGGGTAGTGTAGTTCAGGCTGGCCTTGAACTTATATCTAGGTAGCCCAAGCTGTCCTCTAACTCACAGAAGTTCTCCTCCCTCTGCCTCCTAAGAGCTGGGACCTCAGGCTTGTGCCACCATGCTTGGAAGCTTTTCCTTTTAAAGAAAAGGTTACATGTCACTTGTTAAGGTGAGACAGACTGTTCTGTCTTTAGATGGAAGATGTTCTGATGTAAGAATGTAATAGGAAACCTTGCAACTGAAAGTTTATTTTTTTAACAGTGCTTAAAGAAAAACAAATCAACTTAATCACACTTTATCCTGGAAAACAAACCAAAATAAAAAGGTCAGATCACTTAATTAAACTTTCATCTGGTAGTCTGCCAAGATTCACTTGATTTTTCTAGGTTCTAATCTGGATGATTGAATTAGACATTTTTTCTTCTCTCCTACTTCCTTACTTTTTCATAGTATGAGCCACTTAGGAGAACTGACCATGTTCAGAGAACCCTGTGTGTCAGAACCCTTCTCCTTTTGACTCTCAGCAACTTCATGAAGGGTTAGAATTCTAGAAATGAGACAACACTGTGACAGCCATTTCTCCCAATTATGTTTTGTTTTATTTTGTTTTTGTTACCAGTAATCAAACTCAAGACCTCACACTTGCCAGGCAGGCACTGGGCCACTGAGCTATATCTTCAGCCTATCCTGGTTTTATAAAGACAGTTTTTTCTTTTCCTAAGGAAAAGGCATAGAATTTATGTTCATTCATTTATTTACTCTTTAGTTCATATAATTATTCCTTAAATACTGACAAACTAGAGCCCTGCTATCCAATACTAACCACATGGGCTACTGAGCACTGGCAGTGTAGCCGGGCTCCATTGAGACAAGTTGTAAGTGTAAACTATACCTTGAATTCCAAATATTTACTACCTCCAAAAAAGGTATAGAATATTTCATTAATAAGTTCTTATACTAATGATATGTTAAATGATAATTTGGATGCATTGTACTACATAAAATATATTATTAAAGTCAATTTCATTGGGTTGTTGATTTGCTTTGTTTCATTTTGCAAGACTGAGGACTGAACCCAGAGCCTTCATGTTGAACTACAAACTTAGCCCTTTTTTTATTTTTTGAGACAGGGTCTCATTAAATTGCCAAGTTGCTCAGGCTAGGCTTGTACTTAGGATTCTCCTGCCACAGCCTCTCAGAGTTCTAGGATTACGGACGTGAGCCACTGTGCCCAGTTTATTTCATAGGAGAAAGGTTCCAGCAGGGAAATGGCAGTGTAAAAAGATCAGTAGGAGGTATTCAGTGATCTGACACCAGGCTGCAGTGGCTTGAAACCAGAAGGTAAAGAAGCCAAACTGAGCCAGGAAGCCAGACTTCCTGACAGCTGGATGAAGCTGCGCAAATGGCAAGAAAGGAAAGACATCTCCCTTCCCCGGCCCAGGTACAAATTGCAGTAGCTGTCAGGCCGCCTAAGTTCCCATGTGTTCTAGTTTGTTCCCTTTACCTCAGTTTTATTTCCAAGGCCTGTTTAGAATCCCATTCATATTGTAGCCTAACATTAGAGAGTTTACTTTGTATCATCATTGTTTTCTGGTTTTTGTTTTTGTTTTTTTCAGACAGGGTCTCACTATGTAGTTTAGGCTGGCTGTGAATGAATTCACTGTGTAGCATAGGCTGGCCTCAAACTCATAGCAGTCCTCCTGTCTTAGCCTCCTGAGTGCTGGAATTACAGGCATGTGCCACCACTCATCATCTGGTTTACCTAGCACTCTAGTTCACCAAAGATTTTAGCTTTGAATTGGTATTACCTTTCATTTTCTCTCTCTCTCTGGTCTTTTTGAGACAGGGTCTCACTATGCAGTTCAGGCTGGCCTTGTGTTCACTTTGTAGCCCAGGTTGGTCTCAAACTTGCAATGATCATCCTGCCTTAGCCTCTCGAGTGTTGAGATTATGGTATTAGCTTTGAACTCTTTTCCTGTAAAATTTCACAGCAGGAAATTCAACAGTTGATCATTGCAGATAGAAATAACTATAGTCCATGGGGCTTAAAAGAATATGTGCAGGAGCAAATGAAGAGATAAAGACAGAGTCTACACTACTTCTGTGTTATTTCTGTTCTCTCAAATTATCCTTTTCCCGTCAGCAGGTATTGGGGAATCTTGGCACTGAAGAGGAGAGGATGATCTCTAAAGTCTTTTCCCATTTTGGTATTGAGTGACAGTGCAGGGAGCAATCTTGGTACCTAGCAGGAGAGGAATCCCCTGGGCAGAGCACTTTAAAAAACGCCATGCCAATGACAGCATGTCTTTCTTCCCAGGTTTTTGGATTTGTGACAGCACTGTGCTGCATTGCTGACGGCCTCCTGGTTTACCGGAAGCTTCTGTTTCATCCAAGTGGTCCTTACCAGAAAAGCAATGTTCAAGAAGAAAAAGAAGTTTTGTAATTTTATATTTCTTTTTAGTTGTTACTAAGTATTAAATGTATTTCTTTATTCTTTCATATATTTTCCACAGTTCTCATTTGAATCTGAATATGTGATCTAGAGGAAGAAATTTCTGAACAGCCTTACTGTAGGGTCTGTGCTGTTCTATGTGTTCTCTGGATCCCCTTCCTCCCTCGCTGGCTGGCAGCCCCTAGGGGTGGGCTGCAGAGATTTTTTAGTTCCCAGGCTAGGCAGTGGCCGAGCTCATGGTCCCTGCCCCACGTGACACCAAAGGTGGCTGAATGGCTCAGCTAGTCCACAGGGCAGAGAGCAGGGCACACACTAGGGCTCAGTGGCCAGCAGCCATGGGGAACTGATGCCAAACAGTAGTGGCCAGGAGCAGTTCAGGGATCTCAGGACACCAGAGGAACCCCTGGAGATTGAGTCCCCACACACTGCAGGGCTCCAGTCCTATGGTGTGTTTGGTGCATTCCATGCCTTCTGGGAACTGTGTATCAGGAATACTGTGAGAGCTGTGCATTGTCAAGGACACCCATGAGACGCCCACAGCAGATGCACTCTGTACTCTGGCTGTCCAGGAAAACAGATGAAAACAGCCAACAAAAGCACATGCCTGGCAAGTGTAAGGTCATGAGTTCAATTCCTGGTACCTAAAAAAAAGCAAAAAAACTGCTGCACTGCTGGATATAGTGGCACAGGCCTGTGATCCCAGCACTCAGGATCATTATGAGTTTGAGGCCAGCCAAGGCTACCTAAATGAGTTCAAGGCCAGCCTGGACTACATGGTAAGAACCTGTATCAAGGGGCTGGGGATTTAGCTCAGTGGCATAAGCGCCTGCCTTGCAAGCAGGCAGTTGTGAGTTCGATCCCTGATACCAATAAAAACAAAAAAGACAAAAAAAAAAAAAAAACTGTATCAAAAGGAAAAAGAAAAAGTGTGCAGTATGTCAGGCCAAGGTCCCATTCAAAATCAGATAGCCTCAAGACTTTCTTCTCACCTACTGGGATGTTAGCCTGAGGATGGTGAGCTTAGAGTAGATGCTCTGGCTGAGTAGAGCTGGTGTGGCCTGGGTAGGTACCCGGGAATGCCACCTCGGGAAGGCTTCCCTACTTCCTTTCACCATGCACTTCTGCCTTGACTCCTCTCTGCCTGGCCCTGCCACATTCACCCTTAACTAAATTTGTCACCCCACCATCTTTAATAGATTTGATCAAGAGCTAGCATTTGAAAGACATATTAAATTGATGAATTGGTAAGTCCTGTCTGATATAATCTAGAAAGAAGGGAGAATACATTTAAAATTAGCAGGATGCAGCCGGAGATTAAGTTCAGTGGCACAAGTGCCTTCCTGGCAAGTGCAAAGTCATGAGTTCAATCCCCACTACCCCCACAAAAAAATGATTTTAAAATTAGCAGGATGGGAGAAACATGGATAAAAGTAAAAGAATTTACCAGAGCACTTTGCAAGATCACTAAGTGTGAGTAAAACATTTAATTTGCTAGGAAAATGTAAATTAACAAAACTGACCCCAGAATACAGAGAAAAATCTAAACAGATCAACAGAAACACAGAAGAAAATACATATCAAATATATTTCAAAAATGAATAAGGCCCAGATTTTTTTGTAGGTTAACTCTTTCAGATCCTCATTGGATGTAATTCTGATACCACTCAAACTTTTTCAAGAATATAAAAGAGGGGGCTGGAGATTTAGCTCAGTGGCACAAGCACCTGCCTCGCAAGCAGGCGGTCGTGAGTTCAATCCCTGGTACTGATAAAAACAACAAAAAAATATAAAAGGGCCAGGGATTTAGCTCAGCAGCATGAACACCTGCTTGGTAAGCATGAGGTTGTGAATTCAATCCCTGGTACCAAAAAAAAAAAAATATATATATATATAAGAATAAAGAAGAAACAAGTTGTGTCAGTTTTTCTCATTGCCGAGACAAAATACCTAACACTCCAAGTTACAGGAGGAAACGTTTACTTAGCTCACAGTTTGTAGAGCTTTCAGTCCATAGTCTGCTGCCTCAAAGGGAGGATGGCATGGCAGCCAGGTATTGCAGAGGAGAAGCAGTTCATGGAAGACAGGAAATGTAGAAGACCACCTGGGTAGCTCTCTTTGAATAAAGAGCAATTACCTCCACTTTAGCTAAACTTGGCCCTGTCTCCATGTACAGATTTATACAGAGCAGGCTAAACTACTTCCTTTTCCCTTCAATTGGCTCTAAGCAATGTAAATAGGGGTAGCTGAAGTATTAATGTGTGATCTTTGAAGCCAAGCAACAGTTGCCCTTTGCCTCAGTGTCTCCCTCTAAATGGTTGAGCCCAGCAGGATGGCACAACCAATATTCTAGAGCTGTCAATTGGGTTTGATCCTCGAGATAAGAGGCTATGACTTCTCAGGGCAGAAAAGGTTTGCACATCAGAACATGCACCAGCCTTCTAAACACTAAATGCTCTCTCAGTTGTGTTATGCAGGTTGGTCTTTGTGCACATCCTTCTCTGTATATTGCAGAGGTGTTTTCTGGCTTCCTAGCTAGCTCAGCTCAGCTCTCATTACGTAATTCCCACCACTCCTCCTCTAGCCAATCCCTTCCCAAATTAACAAAATCTGGGTTAGGCTCTGGGTCAAGGCCTTTGTTCTATGGACCCTCTCTGAACTGGACTCAGGACCCATTGGCTACCCTTAACTATTAATATGTCTTAAGTGTCTATTCTCACCATGGGTTGCACTAGAGGTGATAGATTGAAATTAACTTGCCAGAATTCCAAAAACATTTCCATGGGATTACAAATATAAGCTTCCTAGACTGCACCAAGGATGGGGAAAGGGCCTCTGTAAGGAGAGAGCAAAAGCAAGCAAGGGACAAGGCATGCCTCTCTCTGTCCCTTACTTTGTATCTAGGCTACTGGGATTAAGGCAGTGCCAGACCAACCTGTGGACTGATTTAGTAATCACACACCCTCATCCTAGTACCCTTCATCCCAGCATTCCACCATGAATGAGTCACACATTCTAGATGCAGTCACTTCTGGAATGAGGCTTTGGAGGAACCTCTAAACCCATGATGTAACACTTATTTTTTTTGTACCAGAGCTTGAACTCCACCTCATGCTTGCCAGGCAGTTGTTTATGCCACTGAGCTAAATCCTTGGCTTGCATGACACACTTCTGAACTAATTTCAGTGTAACACAGATGTGAAAACCTGATAGAATTCAGGAAAAAAAATAATATATGAGCTCCATAGTAGGGCACTTGCTTGGTGTCCTTAAGGCCCTAGGTTGGATCCCCAGCATGGGGGGAAATTAATACGCTAACAGAAAATGTTCATTGATTTGGGGGGTTTTGTTGTTGGTACTGGGGAGTAAACCCAGGGTCTTCACACTGAGCTATGTCCCCAGTGTTTCTTACTTTGAGACAAGGTCCCAGCAAGTTGATAAACTGCCCAGGCTGAGTTCAAACTGCAGTGCTGCTTCTGCCCCCAAAGTAGCTGAGATTTCTGGCATGTATGTCCATACCTGACTTCATCGTTATTTATTTTTAATGGAAAAAAAGTAAAACAAAATTCGTAACAAAATAAGAATACAACAATAGTTTCTCAGGGTACATGACAAGGACATAAAAATTTTTCCAATTGATATTAGCACAAACCTTTTTTAATGATCTAAGAGACACTAATAGTATAACTCACGTATTTTTCCCATTGTCCTTTCCCCTTTCACACATCCTAGTTCTTTTTCCTTTTGAACAATTCCTTCCATTTCACAATACCTATTGTACATTTTAGATCGTATTTACTCGCAGTTTCTCACACAAAAGGGAATATGATGTTTACACATATGAGTCTGATTTATTTCACTTATGAATGTGGTTTCAAGTTGCATCCATTTATAATAAAAGTCTCAAGTTTATCCTTGTTTATAGCTGAGTGGTACTCCATTGTATAAAAATACCACATCCTTTTTAATCCATTCCTCACCTGATAGGCATTTAAATTATTTCCAAGATTTAGCTATTACAAATTGTGCTGCTGTAAATATAGATGCACATATATCACTGTGGTGTGATGTTTTTAATTCCTCTGGGAAGATACCCTGAAGGGGAATGAATATAGCTGGTTTGAATGGGACCTCTAATCCTAGTTTTTTGAAGAATCTTTACACTGATTTCCACAGTGGTTGTATCAGTCTACATTTCCCACCAACAGTGGAGATGAGTTCCTTTTCCCCCACAACTCCTACAGCATTTGTTATTGCTTGATTTCTTGATAGTAGCCATTGTTTCCGGGGTGAGATGGAATCTCAGTGTTTTAATTTGCATGTCTCGAATGACCAGTGATTCTCAACATTTTTTTCATATATTTATTTGCCATTTATATTTCTTCATCTTGAGAAGTATGTATTCATCTCAGATGCCCATTTTGGATTGGGTATTTGGCTTTGGGAGATCTGATATTTTTCAATTCTTTATATGTTCTAGATAAAAGTCTTTTGTCTGTGGGGCAACTGGCTATCATTTTTTCCCACTGTTTCTTTTCACTCTGTGTACCCTAAGCCTTCAACACTTTCGGTCCTGTTTACATTGGCCTTTACTTCAAAGTGTTCATTTTTATAACTTGAATGTAAGACTTGCTCTCAGACTCAAGAGTATTCTAAGTGGACAACAATAGAGCTATCTTTTCAGACCAAGCCATGGCTGAGCTATGAGAGTTAGGGTGTTGCCCTGGTTCCCAGGGGAGAGACTACTTAAATGCCCAGAATGGCTCCTTAGATGGAGAACAACCCTGGAGTATGAAGCCCATCTCATTAGAGTACTGAACATGTAGAACTTTTCAGCTTTTCATAATGAAAATTTTAATTAGCATATTCAATGGGTAAACACAATTCTCACCCATGACTTGCTTCTACATACTCCTCAAACAGCGCTCAGCTACCACCCTCCAAAGCAGAGCTGACACAACAGAATTGTAGGAAAATGTTCAAAAACCCTGAAAGCTTATAGGAGTCATCCTTTCTGTGTGTGCCAAGGGCCCGTAGTCTGAAACAGTAGGGATCCAGAAAACATTGTTGCACATCCTCTCAACAGCTCTATCCAGACACATACTTTAGCAGCTGAAAAGTTCCTGAAGTTAATTCTTCAGATCTGGGACTAGAGAGGCAGTGCAGTTTTATCCCAGAGCAGGAATGGGCCCAGTTCCCAGCCTTGCCACCTTATGTGTGATCTCTAGCTTCCATTTCCTGACCTAAGTGATGTGGAGGGAAAAGTGGGATGATAGGAACTACCCCACAGTCACCCACTAAAACATTTAAAAGTGCATGAAACCAGCTAGTACTTGGCACACAATAAACTTCCAATATGAGGCGTCTAAAAAGAGAAAATCTACCACACCTCATAGGGTGGCTGAGGTCTTTTGCCATTCTGTCTTGCTCTGTGAACAGGTCCTTATTCAGAGCTCAGGACTCCACCACATCTCACTTCCATAGTACAGTTTTCTGACCTTGATGGAGGACCACTTGCTGTGGAGCTGAAGCTCAAATATTTTCCTCAAAAGTGTGAGGGATTTTCTGAAAAAACTGCTGAGCTCTCTGTTCCTCAGAGGGCCTAGCAACAGAAAACAAAGAAAAATATGAGCAACTTTAATTGGACATATGGAAGATCCTTTTTAATTACGGAGAGCTATAGCCATAGAGAAGTTTCTGAGGGGAAACTGAAATCTCTTTCCATGGAAATTTTCAAGAAGGGGAAATCAGTTATCTTTTCTGAGCATACACCATGTGCCAGATAATCTTTACAACAACCCAGTGACATTGTAATCCTCCCCATCCCCACTTAACAGATGACAAAATTAGATTGAAGTGATTGAGTTGCCCATGATCGTTCACATATTCTGTCAAACTCTGGTCTGAACCCTGGTCTGTTAGACTCTAAAGTTCAGACTGATCAGATGTTATACTCTACTGGCAGATGAGAGCTTAGTTACTTTTTTCTCAGGGCTGAGACAAAATACCTGACACCCAAAGTGAAAGGAGGAAAGGTTTATTTCAGCTCACAGTTTATATAAAGTTTCAGTTCACAGTTCCAAGGCAAGATGTGCATTACAAAGAAGAAACAGTTCATGGCAGGCAAAAGACAGCAAAAGCAAGCAAGCAACAAGCCTCTTTCTGTCTCATCTTATTCAGGCTTCCTACCCTTAGCTTGGGTAGCACTCACCCCCTTAATTCTAATGCCCTCAATCCTACTGTCACACCATGAACCAATTCAGTGTTGTACATCCTAGGTCAAGCCACCTCTGAAAAGCCCCACCTATCATCCCGCGAGGCACTAGGGACATCTAGACACAAGCCATAACAGATGATGTTGCTGTCTTCATCCTGCCCAAGCCCTCCTTAGATAAGGAACTCAAGGAGAACTACATCTCTACAACCTCCTTAGATTGCCTTAATTTCCTCCTTGTATCTTCTCCAGTTTCCTCATGGTTTTCTTAAAATGTGGAGCCAAAGGTGATCTGATATTCCATACAGTCTCATCGAGGGCAAGTGACTAGAGGCCCCACAACGCCACCAGCTGTTGTCCAGAGCCTTTGAGGAATGAACTAATGCAGCCTGGTTGAACTGCCATAAAAGCTGGATATCTGTTCATTGTCAGCGTAGACAATGTATCGAGATCCTATCTCAAAAACAAAAAATTGAAGAAGGCCACAAGACACCATATTTTGCCATAGGGCCAGGGGAAATGTGTAAAAGTACCCCAAACGAAAGAGTAGATCTAGAACCTCCTGAGTGTGAACAGTAAGCATCCCATGAGAGGATCGCTTCTACAGTGTCAAAGGAAGATCAAGCCAGCTCTTGTAAAGCGACAGGCCTTTGATCAGCTCCAAGAAACTCAGATCCCCTGGTTACATACATATTTTAAGTGACAGCATCCTTCTTTCAGGATGGTTCTGGGAATCCAGAGTGTGATTCAAAGGCCCAGCCTTTTTCTTGTGGCTGTTCTCCAGGGTGTGGGTCAGGGTCTGGGACAGCACGTGGACATCTGGTGAACTCCACGGAGCTTCACAATGAAAAAGCTCTCTTACCACAAAAATCATCCAGTTATTCTGATGCTCGACTAACTAGTAGTACACATACTAAGCAACCACACAGTTAATCAGATGATGGGAGACCAAATTGACTTGGAAGTTTTTGAAAAAGACCTATCAAAATAGGACTCAAATTGTGTTCTCTTCTCCTTTCTAGTCTCTTTCTTTCAAACCCTGTGGGATGAAGGACATGTCCCATTTCTCAGAGGGCAGGTGGCTACTACTAGGTGCTAATAGAGAGGCCTGGCCCAACAGGAAATGTGCTGGTCCAATCAGACTAAATGTACCCAGATGGGACTCAAACTTGAAAACTTTCTGCCTCAGCCCTACAAAGTGCTGGGATTACAGGCATGTGCCATGGCACTCAACTTTTCTGTGTACGTTTTGAGGGTAGATATCATGAGTGCTGGTGCCAAGAGGAATGACTTGGCACTTCAGAGTATAGAGGGACTTAGAAATGTGTTGCCATTAAGCTGCAGGAGTCACTTGAGATCTTATCACAAGAGCCGTGTTGGCAGCTACAGAGTACAGGTCCTGTTTCATTCAGAAACAGTTTGGAGGGCTCTGCAGAGGCTTAAAGCTCTGTTCCCCACCCAGAGTATCTAACAGGCACACTGCCACTTCTTTTCAGTCTTTCTTTCCAGACAGTGTGGCTTGGTTTCAGGGGTATTGGATTAGCATAAGTGGTGATTTCTAACATAAAAGTTCATAGAAAAATAGAATTTCTTACTTCTCTTTCTTGTTCTTTAACAAAAGGCTGAGGATAAAAGTCCTCCACCAGGGAGAGAAAGTCTAATACTTCAGGCTTTCAGACTCTCAGCAGGGCAGCCTCGGAGAGTGCTGGCTTCACATATAGCCTGATGACCTGATGAGATCCATCGGCTCTGGGGCTGTATTTTGTCAGGGTTTCCTTCTCTGGATCAGTGATGGAGCCTGTCTTACAGACCCACCCTCAGTCTCTAAGTTACAACCGCTCACTTCTTGAACTCTGTGCCCCCTCAACACCACAGGAGAGTGCTGGTCCAGCTCTCAGTCCCTACCCGATGCAGAGGGGCTGATTCTGCATCAAAGCCAGTGAGAATACAACTTTCCTCACCCACTGTGATGAAGTCACTGTCTTCTTTTTTAGGGTTGTCAACTTTATGTACCATAGTCTCATGTCATCTGCCAATATACCCAAGAAAAGTACAGATTATACTTCTATGTTATAAAAACTATTACCCAGCATTATCAAGATACTGAGTTCTGGTCAAGATGCTTTTGCCAATGGGAATCTCCTCAGCATTCTGTACTGGGGATTAACCTTTGCACTGAGCTATATCTCCAGCCCTTTTTCATTTTTCATTTTGAGACAGGGTCTCACTAATTCACCAAGTTGTCTAGGCTAGGTTCAAATTTGCCACACTCCTGCCTCAGCCTCCCAGAGTGCTCAGACTATAATGCGTGCACTACATGCCCAATTTAGAAGGCAATTTTAAAAAAGAACATAATGAACATTTTAACCTAAGACTCTACATAAGTGACAATTCCAATACTGCAGGCAATGTCTTCAGATGTTTAAGTAATAGTATCCACTTTAGAATGTTTCCTTCATGTAAGATTAATGAGAAACAATTTTGGTGATTTCTGATCAGGCTCTGTCTGCCATGTGTTTGGAGAACTCTTAGGCATAGATGAAGCCAAAAAAAAGTTGCAATTAATTGAATACCAGGTAATGTTTATTGTTTGTAAATCCCTGTTTCAAATAACACATTGTATGAAATAAACTATAAATGTCACAAAATTTTCCAAAATCCAGTGACTTTTAAAAATAACATTTGGGGCTGGGGATTTAGCTCAGTAGCATAAGCACCTACCTGGCAAGCATGAGGTCATGAGTTCAATCCTCCAGTACCAAAATTTTAATAAAAGTAAGCATTTAACCCAGGCACAGTGGCATACTTGAAGCAGCACGTTCTCTATGAGTCAGAGAGCAGCCTGGACTACACAGTGAGTTCAGGGTCATCTGGAGCTGCACAGTAAAACTCTGTCTCAAAACAAACAAACTAACAACAACAAAAGCATACGATATAAATGCATATTTTTTCTAGATACAATTATACACAATTTTGTATGTCTCAAAGAATCATTTGGGAGCCTTATGGAAAATAATAAAGTAGAAAACCTGTTTCTCACTTTAGTCAGAGGACACTATTTGAGTTAGTAGGATATTTAGTCTCAGAGAAAAAGCTAAGGAGTAAGAATGACGTTCACGGAAAGCACAATGTTTATTTCACATAGCCAGGCTTGACTGCAACTTTAGCTCAGCCACTGGGGAGAACATGTTTCTCTGCCTGTCCAGATGAGTCAATAGGTCTGTGTCTAGGGTAAAAAGAAGATGATCAAGGAGGCCTTGGGCACTCACATCAGACTGCCACATGTCTAACTACTTCCTGACTGTGATCTCTGGGCGACTTGCTCACCCTGCCTTAAACCGGGGATAAGGAGAATCTGTTGTGATAATCAAATGACATACCAACACCTCAGTACGGTACGTGACATGAAATAAGTGCGCGATACATGTGAAGTACAGTAAAACGGTACAAGGCAAACTGTAGCTGCAAGGGACAGTGCTCTCTTAGCAAGACAGCATGTCTGCATGATCAGAGAGCAAAATGTGCTGTCCAGTGATCTAATGAGGAGATAAAATTATGACAGTAAAAGATTAGCTGAGCCTAGTCTACATTTGATTTATAATTGTTGCATCATTATTGTTTGCACCCAAATTCTCAATAATCTAGACCATAGCTAATGCTTAAAAGCTTACACTGTGCTCCTTAGTTGTAAGAGTCCTCATTCATACCTTCAAATATCTCAGTTTACACAAAAATCAAGTGCTAAGCTTCCTGCAAAGCTGCAAACCACCCTGCCTGCATCAGGCCTGCCTGCTGTAGACAGACATCTTGTTCATTCTGCAAAATCCTGCTGGGCCTTATGTCCAACCCTCATTCCACTACTCCACATCCCCATTCCAGTGTTACCCACCAGGTGACAAAGCGGTAGACATTACTACTTTCTCAGGCAAGTCACATTCCATGGTGGCTCCTTGTCCACCAGCCTCAACAGGAAGAACCCCCATGCTCACCACCCTGCCCAAGCTTGTAGGAAGTTTATTATCTGTGCACTCTGGGAGGTGGGGAGTAGTATGGATTGAACCCGTGCCTTCGCAATGAGCTGCATCCCGAGCCCTTTGTTTATCTTTTATTTTGAGGAGGAATCTAAATTGCCCAGAGTGGGACTTGTTCAAAATAAATATGTGGGCCATATCATGATTCTGTTGCCGCAGACTTTTGTCCCTACCCACACATTAGCACCACTATCATTCCGTCAGCAAGCCTGGTCTCTGCTCACTCGGAGGAGAACCCCCACCCACTGATCTTGACCCTTTATTTCCGTGAATAAAGAAGCAGGCTGAGCTAGCAGTTAACCCAGTACTGAAATCTACAACAAAGGACACAAAGAATCTGGAGATGTTAGAGACTTAATTGTGGCCATGTCTTAGTAAAAAAAATCAACAGCATAACCATTCACTTTAGTAAATCAGACCTGCTTCTCAGATGAGTTCATGCATCCTTGGGATATATGAACTTGGCAGAAATGTAACCAAACTTCCCATGCATTGGTTACAGATTTAGGAGTGGAATTAAATCAATAAAATGTTAATCTTGGGGCTGGGGATTTAGCTCAGCGGCATAAGCACCTGCCTTGCAAGCAGACAGTTGTGAGTTCAGTCCCCAGTACCAATAAAAAGATTTTTTAAAATGTTAATCTAAAATTTTACCTGCCTCAAATTAGTTTTGCATTAAGACAAATGTGTTATGAAATACAATGTAGAATTTACATTAACAAAATATAAGACTTCAAAAAAAATCATTATTACTAAGGACCACTGTGGGGTAGCCTCTAAACCACTAGGTTTTTTCATGTTCACTTTTTGTCTTAGTTACTTTTCTCATTGCTGAGACAAAATACCCAATACCCAAAGTTAAAGGAAAAAAGGTTTATTTGGCTCATGGTTTGTAGAGGTTTTAGTCCACAGTTGGCTGGCTCCAAGGCAGGGTGGCATGGCAGGAGGGCATCACAAAGCAGTGAAGAACCAAAGCAGCGAGTGACAAGTGGCAAGCAACAGATCTCTTTTGTTCCTTATATTCTATCCAGGCTACTCACACTTAGGGTAGGGCGGCTTTAATCCTAGTACTGAACTATGAATCAATCCCAGCATCATATCCTTGATCGCAATATCACAGATCCACTCATCTCTACAAAGCTCTACCTATGACTGTATGAGGCTTTGAGGGGACATCCAGATACAAACCATAACACTTTCCTATACCCTAAAAAAATTGAATAAATTCATATCTCTGGAAAAGGTAAGAATTATGCCTCTGAGGCACCTCCTAATTTTAAAGTGTTTAAAATGCACCCCATCCTTAGATGAGTAGTTGACAAATTTATTTTATAAAGTTACTTTTTTTTTTTTTTGGTATCAGGGATTGAACTCATGATCTTGTGCTTGCCAGACAGGTGCTTATGCCACTGAGCAAAATCCACAGCCCTAAAATTATATTTTCATCTAAAGTTGACAATTTTCAACTCTGTATTACAGGGCCTTACCAACAGTTTCATTTCAGCTACATTTCCTTTAGTAGTTGTTGCCCAGGCAACGAGAGAATCTATTCTATGTTGGAGCAGTTAAGTAGAGACATCTGTGACCTCACTTCAGATTAGTATTGTAAGATAAGAAAGGGAGAGACCAGCAGACCATTATTGTCATTAACAATGGGAAATCCCCACTGCCATCCTTTCTCTTTTTGCAATGACTTCTTCAGATGATGCGAAGTTATATAAACTCTTAAGTTTGTAAAAATCATAATTGTAGTTCTCTAAATAGAAACAAAAAATGAAAGTCTGCAGAACTCCTAAGACTCATGCACACTATTTTTGGAATATTGAACAAAGTATTTTTGCCTACCAACAGGACTGACTTTTCTGGAGTAGAGAATTTTATTTTAAAAACAGAAGAAAAGAGGCATTGTAGAGTTTTGTTTTGTTTTTTAAAGTGCATTAGCAAAAGGAAGTAAGTCAGACTATTCAGGAAGGAGGAAGCGTGCTTTAGTTGAAGCACCCAGTAGGCTTGCTCTGACTTACCTTTTACAACTCTCATTTTTATAGATACAGGAACTGAGGTTAAATACCTTTTCCTGGGTGCAAGGATGGAACAAACTGGGATTCAAACCCACATCGTATGGAAGACCACCACGAACTGTAGATTAAATACTTGGAAGATGGGGGTGGGATAAAACCTTTGGTTTAAAATTCCACGAGACAGAAATTAATCCAGAAAAATAAAGATTTTAAATTCTTTGAATTCATTCCGTAATGAGTAAACACTTGTTTCTCCCACTGGGTTGTGCCAAGCTTGAGCTCAGTGTTGGGGAGCGTCCCTTCTTTCTGTGGGGTGGGCTCACACTAGCTGGTGCAAGGCCTTTCCTGGGAAAAGTTTTTTAAGCAAATAGGGATTAAGTGGGCACAGAGAAAAACATGCAAGCCTGAAACGTCAGGTGCTGTCGCCCCTGGTTCCCATCTGCTGACTCAGCTGCCAGGACTTTCTGCTCCCAGGTTGCCGTCAGTTCAAGCTGGATTACAGCAGCCACCCCAACCCCTCAGGCCCACTGCAGGGCCAGTTCATTTCCACTCATCATCTGGTGGCTGCAAGTGAGTTTTCTGACTCTAAAACCTTTCCTCTCCTCTTCCTTTTTTGTTTGGGTTTGTTTTGCAGTTCGTTTGCGCGCTGGGAATGGAACCCAGGCTCTTGCTTATGCCGCAATTGAGCAACTGATTACCGCGTCAGCCCTCCTCCCTTCTTTTGATAGTGACAGACCCAGCCCGACCACCCACAACCACAACTCTGTCCCCTCCCAACCACTCCAGAGGCCTCCGGCTCATGGGATCCTTCAGAGCTGCAGTCCAGAGTCTGGAGTTCTCCTCCTCCCTAAATGGACCCCTCGGGCAGACTTCCCTCCCCCTTTCAAGCCCAGCCTGAGATCCCCTCAACTAAGAAGCCTTCTTAGGATCCCACCTGGGGACCTAAAAGGGCCGCAACTTTCAGAGGTCTTTTCCTGATGCTTGAAGGCCCTGGCAAGCCAGCAAAATCCTTTCCTACAAAGGAAAATTGGGCTGAGAGGGCAGGGGACTTCGGGAAGGTGCCAGGGGCCTCCTCCCCAGCTCCTGCCTGGCCTGGGGTGGGGACAGGGAAGGTCGCTACTCAGCAGCTGAGTGTGTGGTCTCTTGTCTCTCGGTGCTTCCTAGGATGAGGACAAACAAGAAAGGAGCCCTGGGAATGGAAACAGCATCTCCCGCCACGACAACGCGCCGGGGTCCCGAAGCCACCCTGACACCCATACAGATAGATACCCAAGTCCCTATACTCACTGTCCAGAGCCACGCCTGAGCTGGCGTGCTCTTACTCCAAAATAGTGTGGCCATTAAATCAGGGCTGTGGAGGAGGGAACATTTCTGGTTGCCCGGGTTCTCTTCTGTGAGCATGCATTATCCTAACCTGTGCACTGCCCTGTGTAACCTCAGTGAACTGCCGATCTGACCCAGCCATAGGAGCCGCAGTTAAAGGCCTAGGACTACCTTGTTAGGCGGAAGAACTAGGAGGGGATCCGCGCACTTAAGCCGGACAGAAAGCAGGTATGCCCCGCGATGAGTAGAAACAACCACTCCGGCGCCACGCGGTGATGCTTGCGCGTGCTGAGAGCGCACAGGCGTTGGCATTGGCCACCCCGACAGTTAGCTGGAGCTCGATCTCTGAACAGGTCGATAGACATCAGGCTCACTCGTATGCCAGGCCTGTGCAGGGACCGTGGGAAGCTGAGGAATCAGGCCACCAATGGCACCAGCTGCCAGAGACGAGAGTGAATCCTCGGAAGAACTAAGTCCCGGGAAGGGATGTGCCCACTATTTGTTGGAACTCAAAGAGGGCAATAGAAAGTTCTGGGTCAACGGGCATGGCGTGGTCAAATTCCTGACTTTGGTGAGCTGGGCTGGTATTCCTTGGTGGGAAAGGGAATCTGGCTGGGCAGCAGGTGTCCCTGAAGAATCCCCAAGGTCCACAGAAGGCCTCAAAGGTATGTTTCCATACAGGGCTTACTGATTGCAGCGCTGAACCTGTTCAATTCAACCCCCAAAGTGCACCCCATTTTGATCATCATCATCTACATGGACCTAGCCATCACCGCCTTCTTCTTTCTGATCTACACCTTTGTCCTCAATAGATACCTGCGCTTCATCCTGTGGCCTGTTGCTGTAAGTGAAGATCCTGGGGAATTACCCTGGTGTGCTGTTCATATGGCTTGGCACCAGGAGAGCAAACGGACAGAGAAACAATCTCACCTCCCATACTTTGCACTCAGGGCTCAGGTGGGACCCAAGCAAAAGCAGCTAGGAAGGGGAGGGGTACCTGTAATGAAAAATGCTCCAAAAAACTAGCTGTGCGTGGGAGTGGCGAGACTCTCCCAGGGGGCTGGTCTCTTACTGTAGAAGATAGCCTAAGGTTTTGCTGTCCTTGAGGGAAGAGAGGTGAACCAGCTGTTCCTCCTGCTCTCTTTGCCAGCACACACTGGGGAGATCATCCCAAAATTCAAAGAAGACAATTAGTCGCCTCTTAGGTTTTTTCTTGGTGCATTAGAGACACAAGAGCAGAAAAGGGGGGGCTTTTATTGCAAGCAAGGGAGGGCTGCAGGAGAATGCAAGATCCCTCAGAGATGGACACGCAGTGCTTTGATTAGGTTTGACAGGGATGTGCAGTTTGAAGGCATGGGCAGAATGACGGATTGACAGCTGTCTGGAGGAATGTTGGCCTGCGTGTGGAAGGGGGATGTTCAATTTCAGTTTGGAAGAATGCAGAAATCAGTATCGAAGGGATAGGCTGTCACTCTAGGTTGGGCAGGCACCACGCTGAGCCTGGCAGAGCTTCACACGGATGGAGCCCATCAAGTAAGACCAAAGGAGACTTTTTTTTTTTTGGTACTGGGGATCGAACTCATGACTGCGAGCTCGCAAGGCAGGTGCTTATGCTGCTGAGCTAAATCCCCAGCCAAAGGAGACTTTAAAATACATCTCTAAAGCAGCCTTAGGCTTTCAATAAGTATCCTATAAAGGATGTTTGGTTCAGAAGGATGTTCAGCCTGAAACAGACCTACACAAAATGAAACAGAACTAGGCAAGTTACCCAGTCACTGTCAGCCTCTGTTTCCTCATCTGAGCAAGAAGACAGTAATAATCCCTTGTGGGACTGATTAAATGGAAAATGTGTGTGACATTGTGCCTCAGGACTGATGTACTCTAACCTCTGGCCTTCACTTGTGTAACCACAGAGCATATCCAATTTACCTTCCAGCTAACTGATAAAACCCCAAGTCCCAGCTCCCCTTGTTCATTGCACGCTCACAGCCTGCCTCCAGAACCCACCACTTCCAATTCCACTCAGTTTACACTTCAGAAAATGAACTCAATGGCCAGATAATTTGCCCCAGGTCATTCCGCTAGTTAGCATTAGAAAATAGATTCATCAGTACAGTCTACATCTCTAACTTAACCTGCCTGCCTCATTGTTATAAGCTACCCTTGTAGGATAAGAGAGGAACTTCAGAACAGAAAAAAGTGAGAGGTGATGGATGACAACTTACTCTTAGAGCACCGAGAAGCAGAGGACAAGGTACAAAAACAGGCAGGAAGCACTTTCACAAGGCGAGGATCTGAGAAGATACTTTTAGTTCCAACCAGATAAAAAACCATGAAACCCTGGAAGCTTCCTATAAAGGAAAATTTTAAAACTTATAACCTGGCAGTATATTAAGAGATGAAAAGGGAAGCCCAGCCCATTTAGACTCAGCTAGCCTTGGGATTTCAATGCAAGCTATAACTCATCCAGAAAGCATATCTTGTTGTGCTAACTTGCTTCAAGGATAGACTGGCTCAGTTAAAGACAATGATTGATTCTTCCTGATCGCCTAAGCCCCTGACCTTAAGAAACCCCTTTCAGCCCAGATCAATCTGTCTGAGAGCATATGACCCAGTCTATGTAACCAATATAAAATAACCTGCGATCAGCCTTTTGTACTTCATGCTTAAAACATATATAAATGTCTGTTTAACCCCAAGATGGGGTTGATGATTTGGAACTTAGTCTCCCTCAGCTCACTAGCATAATGAAGAGTTGCCTTCCAACTCCTTGGTACCTGCGTATCTTCCATTCGATTTGGTCCTGGTTTTTCCACAATATTCCTACTCACCTAATGGAAATTTAACCAGTATTGCTTTAATTAACTATTGAATGGTTGAGGGGGAAATAAGATGGGGAAAAGCATAGGTGCTGAACCAGGACAGGAGCTATGATTGCAAACTTTGTGACATGCAGATGGTAATGGCCTTTGAGGTATTGTCTCAGGAATCTGGAGGGTGGGCTTTCATGCACTTTCAACTCAAGAGAGGAAGCTTTGATCCCAAGCCAAGTAGGGATTTAGAACAGAAAACCATATATAAATCTAGCACTGTGGAAGACAGCCTTCTTAGGGAAAGAGGAACAAAAAAGACACAGATCTCTGGCAGGGGTGGGGTGGAGGGTCTTCTTTGGGAAACAAATCTTATACCTGTCCTTTGTGTAGAACTGGAGTTTGAATTTTTGGTCCCTGCAGCCTAGAAACCATCATGCCTTGGAATGAGCCTAAAAACTGATATCTGAGACTATTCTGATGATATCCTCGGAAGCCCTAAAAAGAACATATGCAAAAACCTCAGTCAAACTTAAAGAGATTCTCCTAGGGAGGAAGAGTTGTCAAAATGAACTCAATTCACAATAATGATACACATGAATTATAAAAAAAACCCCAAGATCAATTATTAAAAATCAGCAAACATAACAAATGAAAGAATTATAACCCTAAGAATTCAGTAATAGGAGAGGTGAAAAATAAGAGAAACAACAATAAATATTTTAAAACTTACTATAGAGCAAAATACAAGCTCTAAGAGCAAACATTTTGGGGACAGGATAGATTGCTAAAGTAATTTATAATAGAAAATATAGTTATTAAAATGAAAATGTTAATAGATGAGTTCAAAAGTAAATCAGATGTATTTGAAGAGAGATGTAGTTGAAGAGTTTCAACTGGAGGCATAGAAAAGTTGCCATAGAATAGTACTAAGAGAAAAGACATGAGAGAAGCTGGAACATAAAATATGAAATAAGAGCGCTCAAGAGTTACCCAGATCTTAGCAGCAGGATTGCAAGCTTGAGTCCAGCTTGGGCAAATTAACAAGACCCTATCTCAAAAATAGGTTGTATTTTTATTTTTTTACTTTTTTAAAGGTAAGAACATAGCTCAATACAAAGGTATTAGGTTCAATTCCCAGTACTGGAAAAAAAAAGTCTTTAAAAGGAATAAAGAAGAGAAAATATTCAAGGTGATAATGATTAAGAACTTACTAGATTTAATGAAAATAATACCACTGAATGTGGCAGAGTAGAAAAGTCAGAAATTATGTCTGTCCACATAACAATAACTGAACAGCCAAAGCCCTGTCAGTACAACTTTTTCAGAACTCTGAAATCTGGTGCTTTTGTTTTTGTTTTGTTTTGTTTTGAAGTCTTTAACCAGGAGAATACTAAATGAGAAAAGAAGCTGCTGAATGTTCCTAAGAGAGCATTGTGCATTCTAAGGTCCACCTGCCCTCCCTCATGCTCAGTTTGGCACCTGCGATAAAAACAGCAGCCCACATTCTGAAGAAGCTCCGTGATGTTAGAGAGAACAATACGGACATATCTCAAAGAATGCTGAATCTGTATTTGTTTTGATCTGGCCGGTAGCTATCACAGATTTGTCTAGGCATTTTCTTTTGTTCCACCTACCTCAGAACTTTCTTAGGGATGAAACAGTCTCCTGGTAGCATTTATTGAAAGTATTGGAAGGCAAATACACTGTCTCAGACACCCGTAGCAAGAGGAAATGCAAGCTATAGACAAGAAAGGAGATATAGGGAAACAGAGGCCTTGAAATATTTCTCATATAGACTAGGGAATCTAGGCCACACACATTACCAGAGCTGGACACATACTCAGAGAAGACCTGAGGAGACCCCACGCTTTCCTTTCTGGATGACCATTAGGTTTCTGATAAGCAGAAAATGAAAATTTTAAAAAGGTATAAACACCCTGCCTAAGTGTTCAAAGAGTACTGCAGGGCTGGGGATTTAGCTGGGCTGGAGATTTAGCTCAGCGGCATAAGCGCCTGCCTTGCAAGCAGGCAGTCGTGAGTTCGATCCCCGGTACCGATAAAAAAAAAAGGAAAAAGACAAAAAAAAAAATGTATATTGGGGCTGGGGATTTAGCTCAGCGGCATAAGCGCCTGCCTTGCAAGCAGGCAGTCGTGAGTTCGATCCCTGGTACCGATAAAAAGGAAAAAGACAAGAAAAAAAAAAAAAGTACAGTCCATACACAAGAAACAGAGAAGTCAGTAGAAACTGTTCCTAAGAAAGTCCAGATATAGACTTGCTAAAAAAAGGCTACAAATCAGCTATCTTTGAAACATTCATAAACTAAAGGAAATCATAAGGATAATTCAAGAACACATAAAGGCTTATGTTTGAGAAAACATAAGACAATACTAACTAAAAGAAAGCTGGTATAGCTTTAATGCCAATTAAACCAGTTTAAAGCTGGTATAGCTTTAAACCAATTTTATATATTAAAAATATAGTTGCCATGGTGGGCCCACACATAATCCCAACACACTGAGGCAGGAGGATTGAAAGTTTAGGCCCAGTCCAAGCAATTTAATGACTTAGTAAAACTCTGTCTCAAAACAAAAAGTAAAGAAATAAAAAGGGAGCTAGGAATATAGTTCAGTGGCACAAGCTCCTGCCTAACAAGTACAAGATCCCAAGTTCGATTCCCAGTACCAATCAATCAATCAATCAATAAGGGCTAGGGAAGTAACTTAGAATGAATGCTCTGACTTCAACTCCTAGTATCACCCCCAAAAAAGATATAAAAAGATTAAAATCAAAATCAAAATGGATCAAAGATCTAAACATTAAAACAAATCATTAAACTCACTGGAAGACAAACAAGTAAAATACTAGACAGTGTAGATGTGGGAAAGGATTTTCTAAACAGAACCTCAATTGATAAGAAATAGTAAACGGGATTATATCAAACCAAGAAGCTTCTATATAGCAAAAGAATCATTTATTAGAGTGAAGAGATAACCTACATAATGTAAAAATATTTTTGCCAGCTACTCTTCAAAGAGAATAGCTAGCATATATAAAGTACTAAAAAAAATAAATTAGAGGTTTTTTTTTTCTTTTATGGGACTGGGGATCAAACTCATGACCTTGTGCCTGCCAGGCAGGTGCTTATGCTGCTGAGCTAAATCCCCAGCCTCAAAAGGAAATCACCTAAAATGAAAGACCCAGTCAAGAAGCGGGCAAGAGAAACTAACAGACATTTTACAGAAGGAGAAGTACAAATGGTCAACAAATAAATGAAAAAATGTTCAATATTTCTGACCCATTAGAGAAATGCAAATTAAAACACTGCTAAGATTCCATTTTACTTCTGAGAGAATGGCAAACAGTAATAAATGCTGGCTTGGCTGTGGTGAGAAATAAACCCTCCTGCATTGTTGGTGGGATTGTAAACTAGAACAACCATTGCACAATCTGTGTGGAGATTTCTCAAAGAACTGAAAATCTGGGCCGGGGATTTAGCTCAGAGTCACAAGTACCTGCCTGGCATGTGCAAGGTCATGAGTTTGATCCAAGATACAAATAAAATAAGTAAAAATGTTTAAGGAGCTGGGGATATATCTTAGTTGGCACACTGCCTGCCTGACAAGTGCAAGGTCGTGAGTTATATCCCCAGTAACAAAAAAAAAAAAAAAAAATTTACACATCAAAGAATTGAAATTTGAAATTCTATATGATCCAGCTATCCTCCTCAGTATCTTCCCCAAAGAGCTTAAGACATCCTGCTACAGTGATACATGCATACCAGTGTTTATAACAACACAATTTGGGGCTGGGGATTTAGCTCAGCGGCATAAGTGCCTGCCTTGCAAGCAGGCTGTCATGAGTTCGATCCCCCGTACCGATAAAAAGGAAACAGACCAAAAAAAAAAAAAAAAAAAAAAAAAAAAAAGATATCCATGTATAAGAACCTAATAACCTCAATTAGTAGAAACATTATATGCCATAACATGAGCTAAGGTTAATAATATCAATAAAAATGAAATTCAGGATAGAGGATTAGAGGAAAAGGGAAGAAGGGCTGGGCGAAAGAGGAAGTGGATTTTAAAAATACTGTAGTATGTACGTATACTAAAAACATGTACTAATAAAATTCAAAAAGTTTTTAAAATCACATCATATAGCAATTCTGAACTTGTATGCACCTCTGCCTGTTAGTATTGATTGTAAACTTGACTACATTAAAAAGACTTCTTTTTGGTTGTTGTTTGTTTTTTGTCTTTTTGAGGCACTATGAGGTTCAGACTGGCCTTGGGCTCACTTTGTAGCCCAGTCTGGTCTTGAACTTGCAACGATCCTCCTGCCTCAGCCTCCTGAGTGCTGGGATTACAGGAATGCACCACCATGCCCAGCTTACATTCAAAGACTTCTTGAGAGGTGAATTATGAGGACACCACTCTCATTAATGGGTGATGCCTATGTGGGGGATATAAGTGGGAGGCACCTTGGAATCTATTATCTGCTTCTTGGTTTCTTTGTCTAAGTTTCTTCCTCCACTCTCTGCCTCCTGAGTACCAGGAACTAAGAAGCTCCTCTCTGCTACACACTTCTATGATATTTCTGTCTTGGGGCTAGCTGACAATGGAATGAAACCTCTGAAGCCAGGAGCCAAGTAAACCTCTCTCCTTTAAGCTATAGGTGTCAGGTATTTTGTCCCAGCAACTAGAAAGCTGATCAGAGCAGCATCTAACAATGTGGCTCCAAAATATAAAAGGTAAATATAAATATAAAAGGTTGGGGGGGGACTCAGTAAGCATTCTCTAAAATTGAGGAAATAACTATCGTAACAACAGAGGCTAAAAGTAGGAAGAATTTATTCAAAGAAAGAAAGCTTCTGTCTAAGAGGGACAGAAGGGGATCCAGAAAGTAGGTTGTGCACCAACACTGAACAAAGCCACAAGGTGAAGTGGGCTTAAGGTGGGACAGAGCTATAATCAAGAAGATTACAAGTACACTTGCTTAGGTAATACTGATCCAGTGGCAGATCACAAGATGGATGTAAGGTGTGACAAAACTGTGATCAACCAGTAAGATTACAAGTACAGTTGCTTGGGTCACATTGGTTAAATGGGGATCAAATTAGGAAGCCAGCTGTGTAGCACGTGCACATGGGAGCCACAAGGAGCATCCTGGAAGGGTGGGTTAAGGCTCCTCCCCAAGGCTTTGATGTCTATCTAGAGTATCAGTTACTGGTCTTCATCCCTAGGGGAAGTGTATGGGTGCGCAGTTTCTTTTTTTCTTGAAGCCTGGCCTTCGGTGAATGCACCTCCTGACACAGGTCTTCTGCCCTGACTTTTCAAGGGCTCAGCCCTGTCTGGCTGCCCTACGATATTTCTAAATAACTTAGTTGTCTATAGTAATATGAACTTATTCCCAGGAATCTTGTCATCTTGTAAAACCAGAACTGTGATAATGATCTACCAGAACTTAGGGAACCCCAGTTCCTTAAAAGTTGGTCCCTTCCCTTCGTTAAGGAGCCAGTGTAATTCTCCACAGCAGAGCTGTGCCTCCTGCAGCCCCCCCTCTTCCATTTTCTCTTACTTTCTAACTCTGTAATAAAACTGCCTATGGCCTCACGATGAAACATCCTCAAAGGCTGATAAATCAAAAACCTATTGCACAGAGCAAGTTGGGTTACTTGTCCCCTCTTTGGGAGGGACATGCTAGCACTCCCACCCCACCTCCCTGTCAAATGACATACATATATTAAACATCAAACAGAAGTTTGGAAGCTGTCTGTTGGAGGAAGCTGTGCTGCACGGTGTGTTGATGGGGACTTGACTCTTTCTACAACTTATTCATTACTATTTTCAGGACCTTCTCAATGACCTGGCTGCTTGCGTGTTCCTTGGAGGTGGCGCATTCTTTGCTTCGAGGAAAGTAGAAAAGCCATTTAACTACTTTGTCGCTATGGTGAGTCTTTGCCCTTTGGGCTGTGGATTTGCTCTGAGTTCACCTCTTATGGAGATGAATTTCCCCTGTTAAAGGAAAAGGATTGTTTGTAGAAATAGCTTAGGTCCACAGTAAAGCTGTTGTTGCTTTTATTTATGTTTGCCTTTTTGAGTCAGGGTCTCACTATGCAGTTCAGGCTGGCCTTGAGCTCACTTTGTAGCCCACGCTGACCTCCAACTCACAGCAATCCACCTGCCTCAGCCCCCCGAGTACTGGGATTACAGGCATGTGCCTCCATGCCTAGTTCAAAGTAAAGTTTAAAAAAAAGTTGGCAAATGTTTCCAGTGGAGAAACCACTTGAATAAAGACGATGTCGGGGGAGCCAGCCTCAGTTAGTGGTTCCCTTCTTACAGTGGCTGAGCCCGGAGCAAAGGCTGAATGCAAAGAGAGAAGGGGAGGAGTGTGGCCAAGGGGCAGCAGGGGTGGACAAGGCCCAGGTGGCTCTGGCTCTGGTAGTTTTTGGGTTGAGCAGCGATATGTTAAGCAGCATCGTGGATGAATAGACACTAGAAAGGAAATATGCTATCTTTGGAAGAAGAAGCAAAAGTAATGAAGATCTTTTTGTTTTTCAGATCCTTATGGCTGTGGCTGCATTTCTTTGTTTCATTGATGTATGTCTTCAAAGAAGACACTTCAAAGGCAAGAAGCCCAAAAAGAATGTACCAGGAGCCCCGGGAGCCCCGGGAGCGGGAGCCCCGGGAGCGGCAGCCAAGTAACCACCAGCAGGAAAGAAGTAACTCAAATGCAACCGCTGTTGTCAGAAATGGCAGTGTATTTTACAATAAAACATCTTCACTGTCTTCCTTGTCTGCTTCCTACAATGGTTTTCTTTTCCATATTGATAACTATCTTTTCTTGGAAGAGAAATCTCTATTTATTTGTCTTTTTCCTTTTTATCGGTACCGGGGATCGAATTCATGACTGCCTGCTTGCAAGGCAGGCGCTTATGCCACTGAGCTAAATCCCCAGCCCCTGAAATGTCTCTGTAAATGGACTCAAAAGCCGAAAGGTTGATTTTATAAATCTTGTCTGGTCCATTCTACATAAGTTACTGGACGTTGTGATGCGGAGGCCAATGGTGGGCCCTGACAGGCCCCGGGGAACAGACACTTTTGAAACAGGAGAATGAAACTCTCAACCTACTATGTCCGGTATGAGTCTGTGTTTTCTAAAATCAAAGAATGGATTTTAGGAACAATGGAGATTAAGAACAGAATATATTTATTGAGAGAAAGAAAGCTTCTGTCTGAGAGAGAGACAGAGAGGTCTCGAGGGGGTTGCCAGGGACTCTGCCTTTTCTAGGGAGTTTTATAGAATAAAATCATGGGGTGAGATGGGTTTGAGGTGGGGAAACTAGGAAACTCACAAGGCAGATGGACATAAGGTGGGACAGAGTATGGTTAACCAGTAAGATTAATAGTTCAGGTAAAATTGATTAAATTGGGGACAAATGGGGAAGCAAGTCAAGTAGAAAGCAGACATTCTTGGACAGCTGTGACTCTTCCCTAGGGCGTTGGAATGGTGACTCCGGACTTCCTCAGGGTGACAGGGAACTATTTAGAACATCAGTCCTTAGGATACGAATTTATTTGTTTGATCTTTTGTCTCGAGGCCTGGAAGGAAAATCAAAAGCAATGAAGACAGGAGGTGTCTGTCTCCCCCACAGTTGCAAGGTGTCTGCGCTTCTGTACCTGCTCCTTTGAGGACCCAGCCCTGTCTCACTGCCTATAGTATTTCTAACTAACTCAGCTGCCTGTAACAGTTTGAGGGACCAGAAACCCAGGTGACACTGGTGGTGCCACCAACCAATCTAACAGACCAGAGGAAAATGAAAAACTGGAAAACACCAGAAGGCATTTGATTTGCATTCACATTTTTTGGTTTTACATTTCTTAAAGAATCCAAGCAAGGGCTCAGCAGTATGCTGCCAAGCATGAGCGGTACGCTTGAGTTCAAATCCCAGTACTAAAAACAATGGAGCCAGGCAGAGAAAATCATGACTTTACTAGATTCAAAGACTTGTAGATCCTAGGAATAAACCACTCTTTCAAAAACACAGAGGAATTTGTTTTTAATTGACTCATTTTTTTTTCCTATTTTTTGTCCATTGCTCCTTTTAGGGTTGAGTTTTCTTGGGGTTTTTTGTTTGTTTGTTTTTTGGTCTTTTTGAGGCAGAGTTTCACTACACAGTGGAAGCTGGCCTTAAACTCACTTCGTAGCCCAGGCTGGCCTTCAACTCACAGGATCGTCCTGCCTCAGCCTCCTGTGTGCCAGGGTTATAAGCATTTACCACCCTGCCCAGCGTGGGTGGTAATCCCGGGGTGTTAGGATTTTAATCTTTATTTTTTATTTTATTATTTTTTTTTATTTTTGGTGCCAGAGATTGAACTCACAACCTTGTGTTTGCCAAGCAAGCACTTATGCCACTGAGCTAAACTCCCAATCTTTATTATCTCCTTTTCTTTTTCTTCTTCTAATTACTTTGTTCTGTTTTTTCTTTTTCTTTCATTTTTCACTTTTCTGTTATCTAGTACTATTAATTTCATTTTAATCCTCAATAGGAAACCATATCTTACTTTTCTCTCATTTCCCATTGATTAAAATTCATCTTCTATTAGTTAATATTAAAATTTATCTGATATGGGGCTGGAGGTTTAGCTCAGCGGCATAAGCGCCTGCTGTGCAAGCAGGCAGTCGTGAGTTCGATCCCTGGTACCGATAAAAAGGAAAAAGAAAAAAAAATTATGTGATATCATTTTTCAGGTTGTACTTGATGCTACTGGTATGGCTAATTATATAATTTACACTTTTATACTATACACTTTAGTCAAGGAGACATAATTGTTTCTAATCAATTTTTTTCCTGGTATACCAAGACTGAGATTGCCTAACAGTCATAAAAAATACTAGACCAGCACCAAAGAACCACAGAACCACGGGCTGAGCCAAGTAAGCAGCAACTTCTCATTCCCAATAAACTGAAGAGGTCGGATCTTACAAAAGCCTCAAAGCACAAAAGCCAGCCACACCTGGAAGGCACTTCTGAGAAGTACTCATTTCCTAAAGATTCTAAATACTAGCAATAAAGCTACTTACCATAGGCAATTTATAAGAATCAACCCAGGAATTAAACTAAAAAAAATACAAAATGAAAAGACATTTTAACAAGATGCAACCCCAGACTTTCAGCTCACCAGAGCCAACTCCAGAAGGCAATCAGGAGGAACAATCTGAAAGCCACCCAACACTCTAAAGTGGTAACAACAGGTAACAGCAGAAGCAACAGAGCAGATGAATGAGGCTCTAGGAAAAAATCAGAAATAATTTCTCAAATAACTACAGAGATGATGACCACAATGAAAGACCTGCTTAGTGACTCTAGAGCACATACAGGTAAGAGAAAAATAGAAGAGCTTAGGAAAATGATGGAAATCATGAACGCCCAACATAGGGAAGAAACAGAATCTATGAAACATATTAAAAAAATATCCAGGAGATTAAAAATTCGATAGAAAGTATATGCAGTCGAATGAGCCGATGTGAGGACAAATTTTCAAGTATAAAAGACAGGGTTGCAGTTAACAGCAATGAAAAGAAAAATTTCTTAAAAATAGTCAGGGACCATGAAAAATCCAGCAGCTACTAGGAGATGCAAAGAACAGTAATATAAAATAGTTTGGAGTCAATGAAAAAGCAGGAGATAGTGCAAATGACATAAAAAAATCTGTTCACAGAAGTCATGTCAGAAAATTTCCCAAGCAGGCAAAAAGAATCTGACATGAGATAAGTGAGGCACACAGAACTCCAGTTAGCCCTGATTGAAAAAAACTACACCAAGGCATATAATAGTAAATATTCAAGAAATTCAAGAGAAGAACAGAATATTAAAACCTGTTACAGAAAAAAACAAATCACCCATAAAGAAAAGCCCACTGGAATCACAGCAGACTTCTCAATACAAAGCCTCAAGGAGAACTTGAAGTGAAGTATTTCAAGTCCTAAAAGAAAAAACCTCTAACCTAGATTGATGTAACTTACAAAATGATGTTTCAAATTTGATGGAGAAATAAGATACTTCAATATCAAAGAACACTTGAGGAAATGAATGAACACCAAACCAGCATTCCAAAATGTTCTGAAGGACATTATAGAAAGGCATTTATAATAAGGAATACAACTCCATGAACCCCAACAGAAAAAATCCATCAGACAAGATAAACGATTAAATGGGGCGGGTGAGTGGCCAACAAGAGGAAAATAACCTCGTAAGGATAAGTCATATATATCAATTTTTTTTATTTAAAGGAAAAAAACAAAACAGTATAAGGGTACAAGTAATACAGAATTATAAAAAAACAGTAAGAAATCACTAGTTAACAGATTACATATTGTCATCTTAAAAATAGTTGTTCAAGTTACAGGATTAAAGCATACAAAGTGGACATTCAAACAGTGAGAGTGCAAACAGTTGTGTTCAGTGATCCAACAAAAAGTCAGTAGTATGGTCATCTATCTTAACACACCTAAACACACTTGGAGTTGTATCCTTTAGAGCACTTTTTATCCTCTCTTTTTTACAACAAAATTTACACATTTTGGGTTTTATTACTCCCATAGCTCTTATTACTTTTTTTGGAAGAGAATAAAACCACATATGACAAAACAAAGCAGTCAGTCAAAACAAAGGATAGACATAGCACATGATGTAAAAGCAGAGTACAAGGTTATCAACAATGGTTACCATGATGCCTCTTGCTTCCTTAAAAAGATTTGCCTATATCATTAGGTATAATAAAATTGAACAAAACAAGACCAATAAAACCTAAACATTGCTAACATTACAGGACTTCAAAAGAAGATAATAGTCAAACCAGAATGGGCATCATACTGAATCTTATTGCCTTCAAAGTAGTTGTCTATATCGTCAAACTTGATTATTATCAAACAGAACAGAACAGAGTAAAATCAGTCAAAACAAGATAGTGGGAGTAATATAGGGCTTCAAATCAAGTTAATAGGAAACCAAAAATGTTACTATAATATATCCTGTTAATTTTTTTGATTTTTTCCCTTAATTAAAAAATAATAAAAATAAATTTTTTATGAATAAGGAGGAGATTGAGATAAAAGAAGACATAACAACATAACAATACAGGTCAGAGCATGACAATTTCAGCAACCTAGTGCTTCACCACAAGATAACCTGACTTAATAGTAGTTACCATAGTGCTCTTTCCTTGAAATATTTGAATATAACTTCATATACTATAGCATCAAACATATCAAGATAGTGTGAAAACATTCAAGTAGATGAAACTATTGCAGGGTATTTAGAACCAGCTAATGGAAAACGAACAATGGTTTCTATATTATCTCTTTGCCTATAAAAATTTTTGTTTATACTATCACATATAATAAAATCCAGTAAGATACAACATGATAAAATCAATGGAGACAGAAGACCAACAGTTTGGTGGGACTTCAAAACAAGATAGTATTAAATCAGCACTAGCTATTATGATGTCTTGTTTTCTTCAAAATAGCTGTTCATTTCATCACAGGCAATAATATCAAACAACCCAGAATAAAGCCATTCCATTAATGAGTGAAAACTGTATAAGGCTTCAAAGCCACATAATGGGGAATCATGATTACCACATACTTTTATATATTTGAATCATTTATTACAATAAGAAAACTATTCAGTATTCATACATGTAAGTTTGATTTATTCCACTTATAAGTATGGTCTCAAGCTGCATCCATTTATTTATAAATACGTCAATGTGATCCTTCTTTA